CTTTTCGGGATCCATGCTCACTCCTTCTGAAGAAACGATATATCCCAAGAACTGGATCTGGGCTCGTTCAAACTCACACTTCTCCAGTTTGATGTAAAGTCGGTTCATCCTTAACCTCTTGAATACCGTGCAGACATGCTTGCGATGCTCCACCAGGTTGTCCGAAAAGATGAGGATATCGTCCAGATAAGCAATAACAAACTGGTCCAACAAATCTCGAAACACATCATTTATGAAGTGCTGAAAAGTCGCGGGAGCATTACATAGGCCAAAAGGCATAACTAGGGACTCAAAGTGTCCATATCTGGTTCTAAAGGCAGTCTTCCATTCGTCGCCTTGACGCATGCGTACCAGGTTATATGCCCCCCGTAAGTCAAGTTTTGTGAAGACTTTGGCAGAGCGGAGTCTTTCCAACATCTCTGCGATTAAAGGGAGCGGGTAACGGTTTTTAACAGTGATTTTATTCAAGCCCCTAAAATCAATGTATGGACGCAAGGTGGAGTCCTTTTTCTCAACAAAGAACAGGGCTGCTCCTGCAGGAGATGTTGAGGGTCTGATAAAGCCCTTCTCCAAATTCTCATCAAGCCACTCCCTTAGCACCTTTAACTCAGGTTCTGATAAATTGAAAATGCGGCTGAATGGTATTTCTGCTCCTGGAAGCAGCTCAATGGGACAATCATATGGACGATGAGGAGGTAGTTGATCCGCATTTTTCTTATCACAGACGTCTCGAAACTCATGGTATTGTGGAGGCAGATTGTCATATGACTGTGTAGTTACCATATCAGCCTGTGATTTCCTGATTGGTAGACAACTTGTAGCACATGGTTTCCTACAATGTTCCTCACAATGGGGGGATGTAAAATTTATGGTCCGTGCTCCCCAGTTGATAAAGGGATTATGGGTAGAAAACCAAGGGATGCCCAGGATGACAGGAAATTTAGGTGATGTAATCAGCTGAAAGCTGATGGTCTCAAAATGGTCAGCCTGAAATTGGAGTACTAGAGGAACTGTTTCATGAGTAACTGGTCCTGATGATAAAGGTGAACCATCAACTGTCTCCATATCAATAGGGGCAGATATGTTTCTCCTGAGAATATTATTATTGTGGGCAAACTCTATGTCCATAAAGTTTCCCCCAGCCCCAGAGTCCAGCATAGCAGAACAAGGAATTTCATGGCCCTCAGCGAAAAGTTTGATAGGGACAACAAAATGAGACTGTTTAGGACCAACTCTATTTTCTCTCATCGATCAATGGGGAGATAGACTGGGTAATTGAATTTATGAGTTCAGGCAGGATAACATCAGTCGCAGCAATTGTTCTTTTGACTTTATTAGGACAATTGACTGCGTAATGCCCAGAGTCCCCACAATATAACATAAATTCTCCAAACGTCTTCTCTCCTTCTCTTGAGTAGAAATGGATCTTTTAATAGTATCTACTTGCATAGGTTCAGGTGTGTTAGAATCTGAAGAAATGTTTAAATCCTTCTGACTGAACTGATTAGCAGAAAAACGCATGCCACCATTACTTCCCAATCTCTCCTTTCTTCTTTCTGTCAGTCTCTGGTCAATCTGATGCATAATTGGATGAACTCCAAAGATCGTTAGGAGTCTCTACTCTGGCGAGCTCATCCTTCACCTGTTCAGAGAGCCCCTGCCGGAACTGACTCTTTTGCGCTGCTGGATTCCAGGTGGTATCTGAGATCCAGCGTCGAAATTCAGCTGTATACTCCGCAACAGGGCGTCTACCCTGCCTCAAACTATGCAGCTTTGCTTCAGCGGTAGCGCAGCGGTTGGGATCATCAAAGACCTGGTTCATTGCAGTCACAAAAGTCGCAAAACTGTTTAACATTGCATTGTTTTGCTCTATATAGGGAGAGGCCCAAGCTAGGGCTTCCTCAGTCAGGAGGTTTATAACAAACAATACCTTCTGCCTCTCAGTATTAAATGCAGCAGGTTGCATCTGGAAATAAATGCGGCATTGGTTAAGGAAACCCCTGTAGTGGCAGCGGTCTCCATTGAACTTGAGAGGCAGAGGCATGCGTGTATTAGCAACATCGCGGGAGCACATGTCCAGCAATCGTGTCTGCAGAGCATGGATCTCTTCCTGTTGCCCCTCTACTACACTTTGCAGTCAGCAAATTTCTTTTGGTAGGTAACACCAAACTCTTGTAGCTCTGAAATTTGCTGCCTGACAGGAGCCATGGCATTTGCTATAGCGGCCTCCATGTGTGGGCCAGATTATTCTGTCACGGTGTAAGGTCAGGTTCAGAGACCAGTTGCTATAGCAGTAAAAGGCTTACCTGAACCAGCAGGATAGGTACACCAGCGGATCCCCCTGGGAATGACGCAGGCTCACCTGAGGTGCGGGGTCTAAGTATTAACCGGTATTCACCAGAGCTCCTAATGGTGGAGATGGATTGGGCTGCATGTTAATACCAGGTCGCAGATCTCAGGATCACCCCACCAGGGAATGAGCAGACTGGGAACCAATAGCGGATCAACAGGTTAGGGATCAGACGAAAGCAGAGTCGGTCACAAGCCAAGGGTCGGTCACAAATGGTAGCAGATCAATCGTAGTACGTTAGGATGAGACGAAATCGTGGTCAGGAACAAGCCAAAGATCAGTAGCGGAGGTGTAGACAGCAGCAGGAACAGTAGCAGATATTGGCTGGAAAGGCACAATAATCTGGCAAGGAGGAAGTCCAAGGACATGGCTTATATAGGAAGTTCATGGGAGGAGCAAGGAGTTCAAGGTTCAAGAGCAAACAAGGCAGGATTATCCAATAGATGAGGCAGAGTGTTGTCCAGCATCCTAGATAGCTCAGTGAGAAGAGTTACTGCCTGACACAGTAGAAGTCCCAGGTTCAAGTCCAGGCCCTGACACTTGCAGTCAGAGTTGCAGTACCGGCAACAGATTGTCATCCCCATGTCATTGGGACCGGAGGCTGCCCGGGAGGCCCATGAGAGGGGTGCCCATTTTGGGAGCGATTAAAACGTTCAAGTGGCTCCAACAGCTCGTGTACTTTCCCGATTTTGCAGACATGTTTGCCGAGGCATGTCTTAAGTGTCGGCACTGCGGGCTGAGTAAGAGTACGGAACAGCGGGCTCCTGTCCAGGCCATCCGGACATCAGCACCCCTAGAGCTCCTTAGAGCCTTAGACAAGTGGTGTACCCCAATCCAAGACCAGTGCAGAAGGAGGGGTATGCCCCGAGTGATCGAGTGATAGTCAAAGCCAAGCAGCCATCTGGAAAGTTGGATGGGCGGTGGGAGGCGGTCCCATACACGGTGAAGAGGAGGGTAGACCCTGCCATCCCGGTCTATGAGGTAGAGCCAATAGGGACTGGGGGGCCCTCATGAAACTTGCACTGTAACATGTTGAGGCGTTGTAATTTTGATGAACCAGTGTGTGTGGAGGGGATGGCTCCGCCTGCTCAGAGTACAGAAGAAATCCCCTTAGAGGAGGGGGAGGAATGGTGGGTTGTCCCTGCCCTGGTACCCACAGAGGCTCCAACCATAGCAAGTTTGCCACCAAGGGAAAGTGTTGAGCTGTCGGCAGCTCCTCTCCCATTAAATGTGCCTGACGTCCCCAGTGCTTCTGAGCCTGTCACTCTACGAAGGTCAACAAGGCCCAATGCTGGTATGCTCCCACAGCGTTATGCCCAGAATGAGTTTGTATGGGAGGGTTGCCGAGGACAACAACCTCTAGTAGGGTGGCATGTGAGATGGGGAAAAACAGCTCTCGTTGTTTGAACACTGTTTGTGTGCAGTAAATTATGGTGTGGAGTTAATTGATGTTTTGACTGACATTCTGCGGTTTAGCCACAAGATGTCATTGTTTTTCTAACACAGGCTCAGACTGCATAGATATTTGTATATTCATGAAGAGGTGGGGTTTTCACACAGAGTTGGGGTTTTTAGTGAACAGGAAGAGAGACTGCAGCCATGTTTTGGACGATGCTGAATGCAGGAGCCATGTTCTGGAGAATGCTGAATGAAGGGGCCGTGTGAGCTGCAGCTGGGTGAAGCTGATGAGATTGCTGCCAGGAAGCTGATGAGATTTCTGCCAGGAAGCTGATGAGAGCAGAGGAACAACGCAGCATACACTACAATATCGCAGGCCTGTTGGAGAGACATTTGTTCTGTTCAGAGTCACCAGCGGATGGAAAGCAGACCCGGGTCAGTAAGATCGTGCACGCACCTCATTTCAGTGTTGGCGCCAATAGACTGCGATCAGGCCTATAGTTAGTTAGGGTCTCTGTTTGTGTCAGGCCACAAGTGTTGTTACTGATTATTGGAAGGACTCCACAATTTAAAGTGACATTTCACATTGGAGAGCTGATAAAATCCTACAAACTCAAGCCAGACTGGCGTTTTGCTCAGAAGGAATACTCAGGCACGTGCTTCAGGACCAGTTATGGGAGGAGGAATACTGTAGATTTGTGTAAGATTGTAAGCTGTTGTGCTGCACCGCAGGCTAGCCCATACCATACACCCATACACAGATTCCTGCTCTATTAGGGTAATAACAGGTAAGGTGAGGCAGCTTAGTTGTCCCCGCCAGTAGGTAAATTACTTCACTTTCTACCTTCATCCATCAGAAGGCGCTGTGCTGTGCAGCACAAGGGTCTCAGCCTTTGGGCTGGGTGTATGTAAATTTATTGTATGTTTCCAGCATTTGTGGTTTTGTTTATTGCCACATCTAAGTAAAATTCTGTTGTGGCAAAAGCTGGTTTTGGGGTTGCTTTCCTCGTTCGTGACTTCACTGTATCCTGGGGAGCCCACCCCGGTACACAGCTTACAGATATAACCAAACATTTTTAATGGTATAGCTAACAGACAACAAAGGGGGAAATAGGAGAAGTTCATTAATAGGGTTTACATACAGGGCAGCACCTCAGTGCAGGAAAAAACAATTTAAATTAACACAACACACAACACACATTTGCACATGGTAATCTGGGTTAACATGCATTGTCACCAAGCAGTGGTGTGGATCAACCCTTATGTTTTCCACTGGGGCATTAGGTGAGGGAAAATTCTTCAAATGACAACTGTCAAAGCTGGGATTTCCTTCACATTGGGATGTAATTGTAGCTCTATCCTCGTAGAAGCTGTTGGATAGGATAGGCCTGTTTTCACCTCCACCTTCTTAAGAACCTCAGCCTGACACACTAGGCTGAGCAGGGGCGGACTGACCATTTGGAAACTCGGGCACTGCCCGAGGGCCCGGGGTCAGTAGGGGGCCCCATAAGATGCCCCTGGTACCTTTTTCATAGGCTTTTATGAGTTTGGGCAAGGACAGAGGGGCCCCATGTTCCCCTATTGCCTGGATGCCCCATGAGTTGTCAGTCCGCCCCTGAGGCTGAGTGTACAAAAGTGCCATATCACAGAAATTCACTGATTGTAATACAACCTCAAAGAAAACAGGCACCAAATCAGGCAGTAAAAGCAAACTTAATATATTGTCACTCAGTATGGTTGGCAACATTGGCAACCATAAATGGAATAACAATGGTAATAACACAATTTAGCATACAAAGTGATTAACAGTAGGGACTAGGCCTGTGGTGACATTTGGCAGCTAGATCAGTATAAACAGTAACAAGGCCACCTATAGTGCAACAGTGAGCAATAGTATAAAAGTTTCATTTACTGAGTGCTGGAACTTTACTGCCAGAGTGAATTTATGACAGTGATGCTAATGCTAGACTCACTGGGTATACACTGCCCAAAAGAAAGGCAGGATGGTAACAGAGGGGGCAGGAAAATAAAAGGGGGCTTGCAGAATAATTATTACAGGCAGTCTTTTGAGATGCTCTTCTGCCGGCTATTGTTGGAGCCCTTTAAGAGTATCAGTGCACTTAACGACAGTCCCAGTTAAGTTGCATGCAGTATAGGTACTATATATTCTTCGCACAGGTGTGAAGTAAACATTGTTCATGCGTGGTATAGGTTTGGTATAATGTGGAGTAGGGTTGATACAGGTGCAGGCTAGGTTTAGAATAAACATAGAATAAACATAAATGTGATATGGAGTGCAGCATGGGTGCAGTATGGATTGGATACACCTGATGTCCAGTTCTGTGTGGCTCAGTCCCTGCTAGCAGTATCAGCAATGGGCGAATAGCCCTCTCACCAGTGCCCAGGATGCTGCGGTCACCTCTTCCTGTAGAAGAGGGGCCCCCTCAGTCCCTCCCCGAAAGCCTCCAGTGATCAGCGGTGGGAAGCATAGGGTGAGCAGACACTCCAGTTTCCCTGTGGCAGCAGTGCAGGTCCTGTGATGTGGGTGGTGCTGCTCTTCCTCCAGGTATCCTCACTCCCAGTCTTAGGCTTGGATCTCCACTGGTATCTTTAGCTGGCAGTTTAATATTCAGACAGAGGTTCTCACTTTCTCTAGAACAGGGGTCTCCAAACTTTATATACAAAAGGCCAGTTTATTGTCCTTCAGACTTTAGGGGAACTGGACTGTGGACATTGGGAGTAGAAAATGTCCTAGTATCAGTGGGAGCAAACAATGTCCCATTGGTATAAATACGAAGGGGGACTCAAAAGTATGGGGGACTCTAAGGGGAACACAATTATGTGGGGGTCTCTGATGGGGACACAAATTTGCAAGGGGTCTTGGGGCACAAATATTCAGGGGCCTCTAATGGGGACAAAAATATGCAGAGGGGCTCTGATGGGTACTCACATTTGCAGGGGGTCTCTGATGGGGACACAAATATTCAGGGAGTTACTGATAGGGACATAAATATGTAGGGGCTCTGATGAGGACATAAATGTGTGTGTGTGGGGGGAGCTCTGATGAGGACATAAATATGTGGGGGGGCTCTGATGGGGACACAGATGTGTGGGGGGCTCTGATGGGGATATAAATATACAGGAGGGACTCTGATGGGGACACAAATATGAGGGAGGGAGCTCTAAGGGAGACACAAATATGCGGGAGACTTTGATGGGGACACAAATATGCAGGGGGTCTCTGATGGGGACACAAATATTCAGGGGATCTCTGGGGGGGTCTCTGATGGGTACACAAATATTTAGGGGGTCTCCGAAGGGGACGCACATATGCAAGGGGTCTCTGATGGGGACACAAATAATCAGGGAGTATCTGATAGGAACAGAAATATGTATGGGGGGGCTCTGATGAGGACACAAATGTGCAGCAGGGGCTCTGCGGGGGAGGCAAATGAGTGGGGGGCTCTGATGGGGACAAAAATGTGTTTGGGGGCTCTGATGGGGAAACGTGTGAGGTGACTCTGATGGAGACACATGTGTGGGAAAAATCTGATGGTGACCAAATGTATGGAGGTGAGGTGTGACGATAATGCAGATGTAAGGCCCTGTGCACACTGAGAGTTTAGCCCCCATGATTGAGGATATGGCATTTAGGTACGACTGGAGGATACAGGTGCGCCATCCAGCTCTGCTACGGGCAGCCTGTCAAATTCTATTCTGCTGAAGATTCAATTATAAATAACTGTTTTTTTTTCATTCTGAGAATATATGTAAAATGTGACCCTCAAAATGAAAAGTTTGGAGACCAATGCTCTAATTCATTTCTCAGAGCTTTGACTCAGTGTCTCTCTATGAAATGGTTGCACATATGGTTGTAGTTCTAAAAGGCAGCACACATAAACTAGAGACTTCAGCATAACTATGTAGACCCCAGTGGACAATGGGAACACCAATATAGACAAAGTTGGCCAGTGCAGTTGGGACACAGCAGAGCAAAAAGAGAGGAGAATTTTTTAAAAAGAAAAACAAGAGCATGTAAGTCCTACCAGGGTTGCTGTTAGAAACCACGGGGCCCCATACAGCCAACCTAACAGCCCCCCCCTCCAAAAAAACCCCCCACACAGTTTACTATGCTTCAGTTAGTACTATGCTATGAGTATGTGCTAGAGCACGAAACGCGTCAAGGAGGAGCTGCAACATCGTGACGTCACGCCGCCGAGGCCTCTTGCAGGTCCGGCGCCCATATTTGAATGCACACGGTCAGTTCTATTGACATGTGACTCTATTGTTCTATTGATACAGTTCTATTGATATTGTTTGTAACCTGTGATTGGAAGCAATAAACCTTCTGTAGCATTATTACACTATCTGGCATCCTTTATTTGGGCTCTTTGTGACCCTAACCACCCACAGAGCTACACTAAGGAGGAGGATAGAGGTGCTGCGACCCACGGATGATCCCGTGAGGGCGTCCATACCAGGTTGTACATGTCCTTAAGAGGATCTGGCTGACCTACTGAGAAATTTGTGTTCTCAAATGCGTGATGTTATTGCACATCTGGTGAGTGCGCAATTTTTCTATTATCTGACACACCACTATACAATTGGAGATAAGAAGTGGATCACCTTACTCTGAGATGTCTTTGATTGGATCTTCACGTTCATTAATGATTTTGGACTTTGTCACTTTAATAGCACTATTAACCACTTTGAGTAATATTACTTTTATTGAATCCCTTTGTCACTTTATGGACTCATAAATGTCATTTTCACTTGGTCGCTTTATAGGCATTATCATCACTTTACAGATAACCTTGGTAAAGTGTTATAACTATTCATTTCTGCTGGTATATAATTGACTTTGCAGTCTGTTGGATTTATTGCACTTTATGCTATTTTTACTTTGATCTTAGCGTTGCACCTACTCTATGCAATATCGATTTTAGAAGGGTTTTTTGTGTCACAGCAGCTTGCCTGTAGCGCTCACTTTGTCTTTTATGCTCATATGCTTCAGTTATGAATGAACAGAGTGAGTAATCAGTACCGATTACTCATTGTGTTCATTCAGGAAAGGAAGGGGCTGGTAATTGTAGCATGTTTACCCAATCCATCCTCCACTCTCCACCCTTAAGGATCCTATTGTGTGCTTGCAGCTCTCAGTGGGAGGGAAAGGAGGGAAGCCAGCAGCACTGTGGGTTGGGGGCACACGGGGAGTCTGGGCAGAAGGGGGAAATATATGGTACACAGGGAGGGTGATGGGTGCCCCGGAGGGAAATTACTGGAACTGATCCACTGTATTGCTCTCTCTGCAGCAGCTGAAAGCTACCAGGAGAAAGAAGAGAAGAGGTCATCTTTAGGCTGCTGCAGAGAGAGCCATACAGGGGATCGCTCCCAGTAATTGCCCACCCCGATGTGCCAACCACATACAATTCACCCAGCTGCCTGGGCCCCCCATACTGGCCTGGGCCCTGTACAGGAGGACTGGTAGTACCCCCTCATCCATGGCTCTGAGTCCTACTATAGGCATCTCATTAAAGATGGCTTTAATGTCACTTCATCAAGGGTTCACATTAACTATAAAGGGCAATGGAACAGGCAGACTAACTCAAAGCTACATTTTAAAGGTAGTCTTGTCCCTAAATAGATTTTGCAGTTACAAAACAGCTATGTGGTTCACATATTCTATGTACATGGCACCTTAGATTTCAGAGAAGCAAAGCCACAAATAATGTGCAAAAACTCAAGTGTGTTATAGCATTTTAAGTCTAAGTAACACTTTATCACTTTGTTTGCTATGTACAGTGTGACCCACCATACACTGTGGTTGGCTTCTTAAATACACATTGGTTTCCTGTCTGCAACAGAGGCAATAGCAGATGCTTGTTGCTTTTGATGTTAGCATCAAGCCATGCATTACAAATAGAAAATAAAATAAATAAAGCTCCACAATTTTTCTATTTCTTACCATATACTGTAATAATATACAACAATTTGGTAAACTAGAACCTTTCCAGGTTTGACAATTGATTTAGCCATTGCTTCTTTTTAAATCCGTTTCCAAGATTTGGATAGAAAGAATAAAGCAAAATTCAAGTCAAAACTTTAAAAAAATAGCTTATTAAAAATAGAATAAACAACTGCAATACTTACCTTTAGTTTGGAGTTGTCCCCTGCACTGTCTTTCTGATTATAGATGACATCAGTCTTCTAGGTTGAATGACAGCCAGCATCAATTAACCTCTGTAGTAATCTTTGTGAATTAATTTTATGCTGATTTTGTCATAAGGTAGAGAAATTAACACTGTTGTAATAACACTAGTAGTGGTAAGTGAGACTTAAAAGATGTGAGGCAGATAAGCTGTGGTGGCAAGAAAATACAACGGAACAAGGGAAAAACAGCTTTGTGAATTAAGCCCATTGAACAATTTCATGACATTTAATAACCACATGCAGTTATCAGAATATCAGTTATGATGTGATTTTGCAGGAAAATAGGGTTAAATTCAACCCCACCCTGGAGTTCTGCACTGATAAATACCAGAGCTGGACCTATGATGACAAGAAAAAAAAAAGTGTAAATATACATTGCACTTTCTTGTG